ACACACAACAAAACAATACAAAATAAAATAAAATGAAAGGCAGCAGCAGAAGAAAAAAATTAATATATCTGCTCCTTTTTAAAAAATATTTTAAACAATGATAAACCAAATAATAAAAACAAAAAATTCAACTCCTCAGACAGTAACTAATACAAATTAAACAATTTCATATTTCTTTAACAATTTTTCCTTGATCATTTTCTTGAAGCAATTAACTGATCCAATGCTCTTATAGTCATCCTCCAGATTATTCCATAGTCTTATACCTTTTACTTGAAGTGCATCTGTCCTTCAAATTTGTTCTGACTTTCGGTTAACAAACATTTGTAATCCCTTCAAATTATAGCAGCGTTCCCTCTTAACAAAATGTGATTGGATGTTTGGTGGCTACACATTTCTATAAGCCTTATACATAACCTGCAGAATGTTATAATCAACCAACTCATGAAATAACTTTAATTGATGAAACAAAATGTTAGATGGGTGATAGTAATGCTTTCTTGTAATAATTCTTATGGCTCTTTTTTGTCAATTAAAAATAGGATTAGTAATGGTTTTACATGCATTTCCCCAGACTTCTATGCAATAAATCAAATGTGGAAAAAATATTGCATTATATAGTGTAAATAGTGTTTTATCATTAAATAACTCCTTAACTTTTTAGGATTTAGCCATTTTTGTTCTTAAGTTTCATATGAGGTCTCCATGTCTTTTTCGTCAATGATGACACCCAAAAACTTCACCTCATTGACTCTACAGATTTCAACGCCCTCTACTCTAAATGGAACATCAATTTTTTTTCTTTCTATTACTAAATATCATGTAATTTGTTTTATCCAAATTTAATGAAAATTTATTATGTTTAAACCAATTTTGTACTTTTTAAATCCCATTTCCATCATTTCCATCATATGTTCTATGTTTTTACCCAAGCAAAAAAATGTGGTGTCCTCAGCAAATAAAACACATTTAAACAACCCTGATACATTTACCAAGTCATTAATATATAGGAGAAACAACTTTGGTTCCAATATAGAACCCTGTGGAACCCCACATACCATATCGCAAAGTTTAGATCTTACACCATTAATTTGTACAAACTGTTTCATATTGGTTAAATAACTTAATACCCACTGTAGTGCTGGACCTCTTATACCTTACTTGTAAAGTACTTTAAACTTTCTCCACTGAAATCTTCCTTGATAACACATGCCTCCATCTAGAATACACAGTCCTGTCTGACCTGGTCCCTGACGTGACATCATCAGCCTTTGGTAATCATCGACTGTACGTTCGGGCGTTTCTGAGACTGGTTGGTTTGGTTTTTTTAACACTTACGTGGCCCGAATGCAAAAATATATGTATACCCATTATATCCTGACTGTGATTAATCTTCAACAGTACTTGGTATTGTTATGGTGGGTGTCAAACATCAAGAGCCTTCAAGAGTCAGTCCATATGAAATACATTTGTTAATTGTTTTTTTCTTTGAGTGATTTGATTCTCTTCAATCAGGATTGCACCTATCCATTGACTTGGTTCTAGCACACTGGAATAGACTGTAAAGCCTAGAGTCTCAGGTTAAAAGGGGACATATGTAAAATACACTGTTTTAGCTGTTCAGCCCATTTTGTTGTGTACTTGTGCATAAAATTTGAAATTAATCTCTCCTGGTGTTGCATAGATATCCTATTCTTTTCTAACTTGTTCAGTTTTCTATATTTTCTATGATGTTTTCTAAACTATTATCAAATTATTTATGACAGAACTGCCAAATAAAGTCATGGATTGACCAACAATTCCCTTGTCTTGATTCTCCTCTCGCTCTGGGTCATCCTGTGGCTCCAACAAGTAAAGTTACAGTAAGGAGGAATTCAGACCACAGCATTGCAGTTGCACTTTGTAAAGACCCCAGCTGAATCTGAACTGTGAAAAAGAAGGATTTAAAAGCATGATATGTCTCATTTGAATTAATTTCCAATCTGGGTCCATTCCTGTTTGGGTGGACGACCTCTGCTCAAGATGCTGCACAATTGATGCACTTGCACTGTTAGAGGAATACATAAATGAAAGAATTAAACCTTCAATTACAGAGGGTTCCTAATGTTTTTGACCTCAGGGTACAATTTTTTAGCCCAAAATGGCTCAGGACCCATTTAAATAATAACTGTATTGATCAAACTAATTTCAGTTGTGATTAGGTTTGGGGGGATCAAACTTTTTCTGCTGTTGCCCCACTCCTCTGGAATGCTCTTTCTCAACCTCTCTTCAGATCACTACTCAAACCTCACCTATTCAATCCTTTCCCATCTTAATGATATTTTTTTCCTCGCTTGGAAAGCATCTTTGAGTATCCTAAAAAGCGCTATAGTTAGATGTATTATTATTATTCGCTTTCAATATCAAAATAAAATTTGCGTACAGTTTAACAAGCAAAAACTAATGAATGAAATGACATGATCATGACAGACATTTACTTATGTTATATATGTAAACCTGCACATAAAACAAGATGCTGAACAAGTTAAAAATTAATTAAACAAATTTAATGTGTCTAGAATAGAATAGAATAGAATAGAAATAGTCTTTATTGTCCCGCTAATGGGAAATTCAGGTGTCACAGCAGCATCAGTACAGAGGTTCACACACTAGTTTACAAACTATAGAAAATGCACAAAAAAACAAGATTACAACTAACTAGCAATGATACTACTACCAACAGTAAAAATATAATATAATATAATATAA